ACTTTGACTGCAACACTTTACAGGATAAATGAAGCAAGGCTGATTTAGTTACATGGTACATCTGTGAACTAGTCTCGTATTATTTTTGTGACTCAAACTTAATATTCTAAAGTAATAGGACTTCACTTAGTTTAACAAATCCTAAATGTACCCAGACAGAATTAAAAATAATAAAATAGAAAATATAATGTGTGCTGTTAATCCAAGAAACTGAAAAATCCCTGAGGTCCATGTGCATTAATGTTTAGTAAAACCAGTCTCAGGAAAGGTAGTCAGCCACATAATCAGTACTGCTGGCTGACAAACACATCCTGTCCTGCCTGTTAATTAGTACAGCATTTGCTACAGCTAAGTTACATTGCTTACATAGGTAAGTTGCATTGCTTACTTAGGTAAGCAATTTTTTTTTTCCTTGTTAGACATTTTAAAGAACTTCTCTCAGCTAGCCCTTGAAATTTCTTTTAAGATAGATGCTTTCAACTGCACCATTGTTTTAAAAACAAGTCAAACCCAGACATTTACATGGGGAGAGGGAGATGGTCAAGAACATCAGGAATTCAGCCCCTTGATAAAGCATGAAGTATTCTGTTGACTTCAGGGTCACGATGTCACATAACACATTCAGTTAGTGGTGATTTGGGAGTAAAAATCTCAATTTACTTGCACTGAAGTATCAAAACTTGGAAGCTACGTAAGTCATGCTTTCTCCACAGGATAAAGGTAGGGCTGTTCCCTTCCTTCTATTAAGTAGTTGCAGTGAAACCCATAAAACTACTTGCATGTGTGGGAGAACTATACCTCTTATTTTGATTCACTGTTAGACTCAGGGATAATTGGCATACTTCTGCATAATCAAATAAGCCTGTTTTACAATGCTGGTTTTCTTCCAACTGCTTGAGAGAAAACCTTAGTACGTGTTGTTGTGGGAGGGACTATCGTTGCTGATGCCCTGCGGAATGTGCTGTGGTGCAAACCCCTGCCTGCACTAGGCCTGTAATGCTGAGCACCCCCAGGGCGGCAAGTATGCCCAGTGCCAGGCATCACGTTGTTCGTGCAGATAAAAAGGCCTGAGCTCAGTTATTTTTCCCGTCTCTTATGCTAATATCCTACTGGGAGCTGTCCCATTACCTCCTTCCAAGTAACACTACTAAGGGGGGACACAGTGAAGCACTCAAGTTTGGACCTTTCTGGTTAGGCTAAGCCTACATCACAGCAGCCTTTAAGAGTGAGCTAATCCATAGGTGGGTCTGGGGAAATTCAAAGAATTTGCAACTGGATAAATAATACTCAGCATTGATCAAGACCCTATCTTTCCCAAGTCAGAATCCTACATAATTTATTTCAGGATTGTGATTTAACATGTACATGTTAGTCCTACAGGAATACAGGGCCCTCCATTTCTCCTGGATTCCAGCTGCTTTGCTACTGAATGTATTTCATGCTATTTTTACCTGAAAAAGAAAAAAAGATATGGGTAGAGAATTAGGACATTACTTCCTCTTATTTTCTTATTCAGTGGGACTTGCTTTTATTTAACCTGTAAAGGAATATATATGTATCTTTGGAAAACTATATCTTATATATATAATAATATATAGGAAACTGAATCACAAGGGGATAAATACATCAAAAGGATTTGGTATCATAAATTTCAGTTGTGATTTGATACCACCAGAATCCTGGGCTGTACTAATTTCCTTTCAGTTTCTCTTATTTTTGTATTTTATATAATACATGGATGGTACTACCAATGCAAGCAAGAGCAGATGTTCTCAGATTTTTCTCCAGATCCCAATTCCCTCCCTTCAGTAATCCCTGGGTTTGCACTGCTGTTGACACCACCTTCAAAAGCTGTGCCAGGAGCTCTCCTGAGCTTTGGGAACTGTCGCTTTCCCATGAAAGAAGAGTCTCTAGCTTCCCTGAACTGGGAAAAGATGGCACATGACTACAGAAAAGGGTCTAACCAAGCATGATCCAGGTCCCTTGGTGCCTGCCATTCAAGGTGGATTCACTCCAGCACACTGGAAAAAGAGCAGCTTCAAAGCTCTGGCTCTGTTGCAATGCAGTTTTCCAGGTTGGGAGTTGCAGTTGTTATGTGGGGCGTCCCAAGTTCGCAAATCCTAGAGTTAGGAAAAAAAAGAGTGTCGTAGTGATATCAGACTTTTAACAGAACTATTCAGTACTGCCAGTACTTGTGTAAAAAATCCACGTATTATATAAAGTATATTATGGAAATATAAGTGTAATGCTTGTTATTAAAAGTGCAATTCAATGTACATGGTCACAACAAATGTTTACTTTTTTAATTGTTACAGAATTGTTTGGATCAGTACCTTGTTATCATTGTGTGAACGATGCCTTGTAAAATAAATGGAAATGCAAACAAAATGGGAAGAAGGTGCCTAATTTCATAAGATGTTTAGTTAAGAAATGCACATGCTACATAGCTAATTCCAACCCGTTCACTAGGACAATGTCCTCATTCACAAGGGGTAACCTGTTCTGCATGGGTCTGACAGGCAGGTGCGGTGCTGGAGAGCGAACAGGTCACCCTGGTCCTGGGCTCCAAACACTAGCCTGAGGTTTCCAGCACAGAGAACGTGCTGGTAAATACTTTTTCTTAAAGGTTGTTGATGCATAGGAATAGGAACAGGAGCTGTTGTTAAGGTCTTCATGCTTCCCTGCAGTACACAAGAGAAATACACAAGTGAGCTGTGAGGCAGCAGGCCTGAAGGAAGAGAGATGTAGGGAGCAGAAGGAAACTGCAAGAAACTGAAAACTGACTCGTAACAGAAGTATGGCTCAGCAAGAACAGGACAGAACAGTCAAAAGGATTCAAATGCTTTATAAAACCATTTTTCCATGTAAGCAATTGCTCTAGGATTTCTTTTTTATTATTAGAGATGAACAGCCGTTGCTCCCAGATAATGGGAAAGCACAAAGCACTTCAGAAGATACAAAGGCAAAGCGGTAGAAAAGCTGAGGACTACCAGACATAACATTTTATATTGATTTACCTCCACATGACTATCCAAAAACAGTTTGTCATCAGTTGCTATCAATGCCTGCAGACAGAAGCAGAAGGAATGGCAGCTGCGTGCTAGATAGAGGCCGCATGCTTTCAGAGTCCTCTCAGATGCTTTCCTCTCCGTCTCTAGAGCTGATGAGCACTGAAGAGCTCTTGGCGCTGTATCTTGTCTGCCGGACTGACTAGACCACGATCCTTCAGCCGAGTTTCAGTACTCCTCCTAATGCTAACATAGCTCCTTTTCCCCCTCCTGATGTAGGAACTTCTCAGATTTTTCTGCCCCGAGAGAAGGCCTGCCACTTGGCTCCTTGTAAGAATGTGCAGAAGAAATCTTGGCTTTGCCAGGCTCTCTTCTGTTTCCAGCCAGTGGAGGATGCAGCATCCAGGTGTTACTGCAGCTTTATGCAGAGGAGAGCTGTGGAACTTGTTTTTACATTTCAAGAGTGACAGCTCTTCCACGTGAAAGAAGTGTGAAATGTTCCTGAAAGAAGTGAATTAAACGTTCCTGCTTTAAGGAAACAAAATAAACATTGGCTTTAAAAATATCTCAAGAAAAAAAGCAAATCACAGGTTCACTTAAAAATGAATTTATGTTTTGATGAGAGCATTTTCTCCTCTAGGCAGAAATTAAATTATAAAGCAATACCAATTTAAATTCTAAAACTATGAGTACTTCCTAATATAAGACCACAGCTGAGCGTGGAGAAACTCAAAGTAAATTCCAGTTGACCATATTGTATTTTCTGGGTAAAAATCAGCTAGCCCAGCTTAAAATGCTATTCCTAAAGATGGACAGGCTGAGGGCCAGTCCTGTGAAAATTAAACATAACCAGAGTTAGTTATGCAGATTTTTCCTGACCCTTTCTCAGCTGCGCATCGTGGAAGCACTGGACTAGAAGGTTATAATAAACGCTTCAGTACAACGTAGTACAATGTATGTTCAAACTGCTGTGTAGGATGCAGATTTGAACATAAATCCTTGGATTCAGGTTTTCTATGAATTTGACTTCATCCGATCTTATCTTCCCTCCATACCTGTACAAAACAAACCCTTCCTTACAGATTGATTCCTGGATGTTCTCTTTCGAAGAGGAAGAGAAAAAACAAACAAACAAACAAACAAACAAACAGTAAAACACCCTCTTTTAGAGAAACCTGGTTTTTGAATGCTGAAGGGTTGAATCCTGCCTGGGGTTCGATCGTTTATAAAAGACATCTAGAGTGAAACCCTGACTCTTCCATTGACTTTTTTTTTTTTCTCCTCTGGGAAATTTTAGTGCCCGACTGTGACCTGGGGATACGGGAACTCTTTGCTGTTGTTCAGTTCGCTGATTTATTAACGCCGGTGAGAAACACGGCGCTATACTTCTTTTTGTTGGACAACTACAACGAGGATTCAGTACTCAGCACAGTCGTTTCAAGCCTCCTCTGCAAGAGCAGCGACTGCGGTGGCACAGGACGCGCGGCCGGTCTCCGGGCTGAGGGCCCGGCACAGGCGGCCCGTG